GCGTAGAAATTTGTTTATATATATATATATATATATATCCACAACCCATTTTTTCAAAGTCCTTATTTTGTCAGTAAGTCTGAATCTGAATTAAATAATATTCTTCACTTTCTTAATATAAGACCTAATTGGCAAGTTAATATTGATTCTATATGTAAGACCTATCTCACATATTTATCAGTTTTTTTTCAAATTAACTCTATAGATCTTCCCCAACAATAATTAAGTAAGAGAGTGAGAGAAAAATTAAGAAAGATGCTTAAGGTGTTTTTAAAAAAAATGCTATATTAACTAAGTTAATGAACATCCTTAATTTATTCAAATTAGTTAATTAGGTCTTATAATTTATCTTTATTTTAATTTTATTCTTTATAATTTCAAACATCTTCAAATTTAGATCAGTTTAATTTTTTTTTGGCGTCATTTATCAGTTTAAAATGTTAATTTCTATATTTTAATAAAAATCTGAACTATTTTACATATTGAGGAATTAAAATGTTATATACGGGGTAAAGTAGCATTTACCACCCATATGTTATGTTTTAGATGCATTCATCATGCTGATATTATTTTTTTAGTTACATCCAACACCTTAATCTTATTTATGGTTTATGGCTCTAAATACACTATCAATAAACCGAAGAAAAAAAAAAAGATTTAGGTTAAGTTTCTTATACACATTACATCAATTCTCCAATCATTTTTTTTAAACAAAATTCTCCAATCATATGTTGGTCCTGTGTTTTTGTTTATTTTTATGTGAATTCATAACTAAATACTACTACCTTCAGTCCTTAATATAAGATCTCATTTGACTTTTATTTTGGTCCTAAATATAAGACCCCAATCCACTTTGTCTCTAATATTTGTGCATTTTTTCCAAGATAATCCTTTTAATAATGATAATTTTAATCAACACACTTGATTAGCAAGGATATTTTAGGAAAGAAAACATCTATTTATTAGAAATAACTAATTTAACTTATTTCGTTAGTCTCCTCAAATTAGTCAACTATTATAATTAAGATCGAATGTAGTATTAACTGTTAATATATATAACATCAGAAACTTTGTAAGTATTGTCGTAAATAAAATTAAGATATTGAAAACATAAAAAAATTAGGATGCTAAATATATCTTAATAAAATTAAAGTATTTTATCCCTGTCAGAGATAACATTAGGATGGGGATGTTATTTAACATTTATATATATATGTATGTATATACGTATATTTAAGGCTATAGCATGTGATGGAAAAGTTTTTTTAAATATACAATCGTTTGTACGCGTGGCACTTTCAGTCATTGTCTTTGTTCATTTTGGTTTTCTTTTTGTTTTCCATTGTACGGGTGGCACGTAGTCGCTGGGCGCGTGGAAAGCTTCTTTCCACTAGGTGCCTATTTTAGTACCCAAACCCTTCTATTAAAATCACCGATTTGAGTATTTGAACCTGTCGTCCTCTTTCCAGCGCTGCGCTTCCATTATTATCTTCCACTTTTAGTCATCCATCTAAGGAGGAACCCGCGTCTTGGGGCATGTTGTAACAACTCTATATATAACAACTTTTTTTCATATAATTTTAACATTTAAAAAAAAAAAAGGCAAGACAATCATGTTTTAAATAATTTACTATGCTACTAACAGCCTTAATGTCACTTTTCAACACTAATTACAACAATTTTTTTTTTTACAATTTCAACGTTTGAAAATAAATACAAATAATAAGGTCACGTTGTTAAAAAAGGTGTTGTAAATGATATTGGTGAATTGTTGAAACTCCACAAAAATGTTATGAATGCCATTAGCAGTGTAGTGAATGATTTATAACGAGGCGCTTTTACTTGTATTTTTTCAAGTGTTGAAATGATTTAAAAAAATTGTTCTAAATGGCGTTTATAGAGTGGTGAAACTCGTTATAAATGTTGTTATTGCCGTTGGAATTGTGATAAATGATTTTTAACAGGGCTTTTTGCTTTGATATTTGCCTTATATGTTATTTTGTATTTGGTGGCACAATGGTTATCAAACCTTTTGTAAGCTAGGTGTTCCCACTACAAGTGTACGAGTCATGACAGGTAATAAAGTGATGAGCAAAATATTGTTCCTATGAAGATTTGGGTATAAAGCCAGGTCAAGTATTGATTATCACACTTTTACCTAATTTGAGTTGCACAAATATATCAAGAATAAAGAAAAATTATTTTCAAAATTAGAAATAAATGAAAAGGAAAAGTGATTCTTCAACTCTAAAGACAAAATGAGTCCTAAGATTAGGTCACTTGAGTTTTTTTTTTTTAAAATAAAGGATCATATTATAAATTTAGCAACATTTCAAATTTTTATTTCGGTCATAAGTATTTATTTGGAATTTTGAAGTTTGAGATATTCTATATTGTTTTTTGAAATTCCAAGAGTATTTTTTTAAAAAAAGTTTTTTATAATAAATATGCATGTAAGAAAACCATTATATGTATAAGATGTGATGAAATCTTTGTCATTTTATATATAATGAAGCGCAATCTTTGTTTTTTTATATATAATTGTTTGTACCGGCTGCACTTTGAATTATTATACTACCTCCGGTATTTAATATAAGATATTGTTTGACTTTTATTTTAGTTCCAAATATAAGACCCCAATTCACTTTGTCTCTCATATTTATACATTTTTTTTCAAAGTAGTCTTTCTAACAATGATAGTTCTAGTCAATACACTTGATTAGCAAGGATATTTTAGGAAAGACAACACCTATTTAGAACAAGTAACTAACTCAACTTACTTCCTTAATCTCCTCAAATTAGTCAACTAGTTTTTTTAATTAGGATCATAGGTAGTATGTATGTATTTATTTTCTTTAGTTCACAACTGTATGGGCGGTCGTGGTCGCTGCATGGAAAGCTTGGCCTTCCCTCTGTAGATATTCTCCTCGGCCCAAGCTGTTCGTCTCAGGTAACTTGTCTACATTCTTCTTTCTTTCCCTGTATTTCTAAATACTCCTCATGTTCTTAATATAAGATTTATTTAACTAATTTAATTAAATTAAGAAAGTTAGATAAGTTAATTAATTATAAGAAGTATGACATATTTTTTAAAAATACTATAATCATTTTTCTTAATATTCTCAATCCCTCGAGCTACTTAATTATGATTGAGGAAATATTAATAGAGATAATTTGATAAATATGTGAAATAAGCTTTATATTTAAGATTAAGATTAACAATAATTATATTATATATTAAGGACCGGAGGAGCATTTTCTAACTTTTCTTTTCTTATATGATTAGTTCATGATCAGTAACCCTCATTCCATTATATCTCGTAAAAGTGTGTTTGAGCAACTATATATAGCTAGACAATGCTGAAAGTAAATAAGTACGAGTAGAGATATGAATATAGCAAAGCTATGCCATTGGAATGATTTTTGGTGCTCGTCAGAGTGATAAACACCCCAAACTCATTATATTTAAACAATCAAGTATGATTTGGATGGTCCATAGATTTAATTTATTTTTTAATATTTATTTTTAAATTATTTTTAAAAATGGTAATTAAGATATTATCTTTATTTTACATTATATACCCATTAAAATAATTATTTTAACAAAATAAAAATAAAAGAAATTAAATCTGGATGACCCAAATCAAATCTAGATGGTTCAAATATGATGAGTTTGGGATGCTCATCATTTTGATGAGTAACGAAACTCATTTCCCATTGCCATCTGCCTACTACTGCGCGTAAGACAAGAAGACATCTAAAATTACAATTGCATACAGAACAATTCAATGGTTTATAGTTCTCATCGTTGTGATGAGCATTAAAACTGGTTCCACATATATATATGCTCCTTTGATCCTATTTATAAGTTATTTTCAACATGTTTTATGCACGCTAAGAAAAATGTTAAACTTTATTAACTCTCAGTTAAAATTTAACAACTTTTTGACTTTATCCTTATTTAATACACATTATACCCTATGAGAACAAAGTTAACATAACAATAAATGAATAGTAGAATTATACGTTCATATAAAAAGTTTCTCATTTTGTGAACCAAAAAATTTCTTCTGTCTTATAAGTAGAACTAGATGAGTGTGTGTGTCAAACTTCTTATCAACTTTTTTTATAAAAACAGCTAAGAATAAGACATCCTTTGTGCTTTTGTTGAGTTGGATTCGCATCACACTTTGTTTAATATTAAAAATCCACTATAATATCACGAGAGCAGACAACGTATTTGTCATCTTTTCTTATCACTGTACATATCTGTCATTTTATTCTTAATTTCTTATCACCATAGAATTGGTGAGCAAAATGAAAATTACGAATATACTCCCTCCAATTTTTCCTGGGGAGCCATATTTTTTGTTTCCCAATCCTCAGATTGGCCTGACATACAAGTAATTAAATTTTAAACATTTCAGAGGTTGCAATCTCCATCATTTTCGGCAGGAGAAAGCACAAGAACACGTAGCTTGGCTTTATGGAAATTACTGTGGAAATGGGGACACAATACCGATCGCATTTGCAGAATCGGGTCTTCATTCAGTGCTCATCACAACAGTGCTGATTAATATAATACAATCTAAACCATCCAAAATCTAATATGGATGGTTCTGATTTAAAATTTTTAATATACAATTTTTTTAATAATAAATTTATTTTTTAAAGATATGTTAGTTATGATATTATATTTATTTTAAATTTTATATCTATTAAAATAAAAAGTTGATTAAAATATATAAAAAATTTAAATTCAATCTGAATCATTTAAAATCAATTTGGATGTTCTAAATTGTGATGAGTACTCTATGCTCATCATTGTGATGAGCATTGGCACTCGTGTCTCATGTTTGGTCGTCCTTACTTTCCTCCTCAATCATGCAGCACTTAATAAAAGTCAGCTGTGATGAAGGCACTGTACCTAGCTGCCTCTATATATAGGGAACAATAATGCTATGCAAGAACCATGCACAATCCAAACGCTTAGCTCAATATCTATCGCCTTCGAGTGCACAATGAGTTCACTTGCTATATCTAAGTTCTTCCTCCTTTTCTTGGTCTGGTATGCTTCAATTTCTCTTACCTCTTCTTCCAGTGTGCCTGATGAGTATACCTTTTCGGACCTAGATCTGGACAAATTCATTTCCGACAAGCAAGTGTTCCATCTATTCCAAATCTGGAAGAAGGAGACTGGACGAGAATACCAAACCCTCGGAGAGGAGGCGGTAAGATTTCAAATCTTCAAAAGCAACTTGAAAGAGATCAGAGAGAAAAATGCAGCAAGGAGGTCACCCAGTGACTATAGCTTGGGTTTGAACAAATTCTCAGACATGACATACGAAGAGTTCAGCAAACTGTACTTGCACGAGACAGAGGAACCCGTAATGGAAATCAACAATAGCAAAATGATGTTCAATGACGCATCATGTGCAAATGCACCCTCTTCTTGGGATTGGAGGACCAAAGGAGCTGTAACTCATGTTAAAGACCAGGAAAGCTGTGGTAAGTTTAAATTTGCTTCGATCTTTTGTTATAACCTAATTGTAGCATACTATAATAGAAGCATAATAGCAAATCAAATTCATGTTGTAGGTTCTTGTTGGGCATTCTCTGCGACCGGGGCTATAGAAGGAATAAATCAGATAGTCTCTCAATCGCTTCCAGAAGTATCTGAGCAACAGCTTGTATCTTGCGCTGCAAGTCAAGGCTGCAAGGGAGGGTGGTACGTCAACGCATTTAAATATGTCATTGACAATCATGGTATTGCCTCAGAAGAAACTTATCCCTATGTAGCTCAAGATAGTGCTTGCGATATCTCGAAGGTTAGTGTTTAGACTTGTGTGAACTAATTGGGTAGTTTAAATTTATGTAATTTTTTTAATTATGGTTTTATTCTTATTCTTATTTTACTTTGTTGCAGGCTGCAAACACAATCGCTACTATCGATGGCTATAATTATTGGGCTCACAGTCCTGTATCTGAAAATTCTCTCCGCTGTTATGTTTACAAGCAACCTATTAGTGTTTCCATATATGCAAGCCCGCATTTGAAGTCCTACAAAAGTGTAAATCATATCTTCTTTACCTCATCATCATATCTCTACCATCCAGCAAGACACATTTGAAAAGTAATTAATAGTTGTTTGCTTAACTGTGACAGGGAGTCTTTAATGGAGATGATTGCTCGGGCATCGTTTCATGCAAACATAATCATGCTGTATTAATCGTAGGATATGGTTCATCAGGGGATGGTCAAGATTATTGGATTGTTAAGAACTCATGGGGATCCAACTGGGGACGAAGTGGTTACATATTCATCAAAAGAAACACCGGTGCTACGGAGGGAGTATGTAACATAAACTGTTCTGGTTCATACCCAACCAAAGGGAAGAAAGAAGCACCTGCCTTGAGGCTTGCAACTTCCATGTGAAGCACGCCCTCCGGGAATAATAAATTAAGCCAGGCAATATAAAGCTGTGTGAAGGACACCAGTTAGGTGTTGTACCATGCTTGTATTGGGTATAAATAAATGGCAAATGATTTGCCGCGGAATAAATAAGCCAGGCGATATATAGGCCCTGTTTGTTATCATGATAAAAATCACTTATAAGCACATTTCACGTAAGTTGATGTAAAATTTCTATCACATATTTACATTGTATTCTGTAAATCACTATCAAAAAGTTACTTATAAGTTGTTCCAAACGGGCCCATAGTTGTGTGAAGTACACTACTTTTGTGTTGTACTATGCATGTATCGAGAATAAATAAATGGCAAACAATTTGCTGAGGAATAAAGCTTATGTATGTTTAATTAAGAATGAAAGCTCTCTCTATATATATATCCACATATATACTACCTCCGGTTCTTAATATAAGAGCTAAGTGAAAATTAAATTTTGTTCTAAATATAAGAGCTCAATCAACTTTATCTCTCAAATCTATAATGTTTTATCTAAAATACCCTTATTGATTGTAGGGGGTTATCACTGAGAAATAGTTCCATTGCATATGATTAAATAGGACAAGTTAGAGAAGTCAACACATTTAATTTGTTATATTTAACTAATTTGATTAATTTTCTTAATATTTTCAAATTAATTATTTAGTTCTTAATTAATGACCGGAGGTAGTATTTACTTCACCTTCTGATATTCATATTGAATTGGAGCGCGCTGTTAAAATGTGAAGGGAAGCAAGTAATCAGTTATGAAAACTTGAGTGTTGTTTTCATGTGGATTAATAGTTTCTAAGTACTAAAATTGTAACCCAAATAAATCTCAACTAGCCCAACGCAAGTGAGTTTGGGATCAAATTGAACTAAAGACATAAAAATGACAATGAGTTTGAGTGACATTTTTTACATATTATGATGCAAAAAGTTTGGGATGCTGATTTTTTCCTGGTATTTCAAATGAAGTAAATTTCCTCGTTTTGACTTGCTCTCAATAGTAGCTATCTAAGACTCCTTCCCGTGAATCATTAATGTTTAGTAACAATTTCCTTTGAGTTAATTCATAATTTCATAAACAATTGATCAAGAGACATAACCAACAATGAATTTGACGAGAGTCTCCTTCTCTTTTTCCTTATTCCATGAGTGGAGTCAAGGGGGCCTTTCAAAAATAATTTCTCTCTCTATGAACTTCGGCCAGACCAGCAAAAAGGGAAAGTAATTTTTTTTTTTGGGTGAGAAACGAAAGTAATTTACTTAAAAAAGAATAATCCCTCCCGTTCTTTTTATAAACTTTAACTTTTTGAATGAATCGGGTCTTTTTTATAAGCTACAGTTGGAAGATGTTTGAATATTTAATGTATTTTTTTACTTTTACTTCTAATTAATTATATGGCTCTCTCCTTTTGTTTTTTCCCCCCTCATTCTCTCTCGTATCATTTGTTAATCATTCTCCCTCCCACTCACACCCCAACAAATGAGGATGTTTTAAGAAAAATAAGTTGTGTTTTTTATATATTTGTATTCAACTAATTTTAACATTTGATTTACAAAATTTAATTATTTAAAGCTCATAAAAGAAGTCGAGGAGTAAGGCAAAGTGGAGAGGAGGGGCGACAAACAGGTCAAATAAAAATTTGCCAACCATTTTTATGGCCTGAAGCGACCAAAAATAAATTTCAATTCATTTTGCCAAATGAGACGGTATGACAATCTTCGTTGCTTAGTAATTAAATCATAGATTTCATTGAAAAAACTAGGCTAAATTATACAATACTCCCAAAACTATAAGTCAGTTGCATATAACTTTCCTCACATTTTAAAGTTTAAATTCAACGCCCATAATTTTTTATTATTTTAGTATAGAGACCTTACTGTTAGGACACCGTTATCTTTTTAATGGAATTTGCGACATCAGATCAACATAAGACACATTGTATCCTACATGGTATCTTACATGAAATCCCATCCAAGTTAATTTTATAAAACTCTCCTGAACTGTAAGCTAGTTGCACATAACTTTTCTGACATTTTAATACTAAACCCCCTTCCATTTTTTTTTCCTATTTAATGTTTATCAAAACCAACTCATTACTTTTAGTGTAAAATTTTTACAATGTTATGGTCTTATTTTGTAATATTAATAAACTTATTAAGATTTCACCAATTGTTTATTAATTAAAATAGCAATTTTTGTGTGGCAAAAAATAGAAGGAAAATGTTATTTAAAAATATGTGTTAACAAAAATATAAAATAAAAATGAGTGTGGGTTGTGATTGGCTTCTGTGCATGTTGTGAATGGCTCAAATGTAAGTTGTGATTGGCTGATGTGTAGGGTGTGACTGTATGTGTAGCATGTTGTCATTGGTTAGGTGTGGTTTGTGATTGGCATCTATGCATGTTGTGAATGACAGAAATGTAAGTTGTCATTAGCTGCTGTGTAGATTGCGATTGGTCGGTGTGTATGTTGTCAGTGGGCTCTCTGCATGTTGTGATTATTGTATAACTAAATTATCATTTACTTGATATGTAGATTTATTGCTTACAACAGTTTCCTTTAGGAAAAGAAAAGGTTTCAAAAATGAGAATATCATTATCTATTGGGATGAGGAAAAGGTGAAAGCAAAAGTAAAATCAGAAAAAAGTTGTGACAGAGGCTTACTACGTGGTGTTACCAACGTCAGTGGGGCTTAATCTGGTGCATCCAATACAAAAATAAAGCTAACCCATCTGGTAAGTAAATAATGTCTAGCTGATTGTGGTGTTGTGTACAATTTAGAGTAATAATTACTTTAATTACTTTTATTTTGCAGGAAATAAAGAGAACATATGAAAGGTTGGTGATGATAATTGGAGAAGAGCTGGTTTCCCTGCAGTTGAGGTTAATGGATGAGAGTGACAAGGAAGATGTGGGTGGAAGCAGTAGTAGCGAAGATGATGAAGAGAACTCAAGTGAAGATGAAGAAACTGGTGGAGATGGTAAAGGAAGACCAAAAGATTCAATACATGAGGAAGAATAGAGTAAACCCGAAAAAGATGATAAGGAAGAGAAAAAAGTGGTCCGCTTGAAGAAGAAAACAAATCTCAACATGAAGAGAAAGGAGAAGGGAATGAACCAGAAAAAGATGATAAAGAAGAGGAGAAAAGTGCTCCACCTGAAGAAGAGAGTTAATCTCAACATAAAGAGAAAGGAAAAGGGAGTGACTCTGCATCAGCAGATGATGGAGAAGAACAAATTGAGGATAAGTCTAGTGATACAGCAGTAGAAGAGGATAAGGGGGAAGGCAATGATGAGGAGGGAAAGGATGAAATGAACAAGGAAGCACAATAGGAAATGGAAGTAAGAAGATCAACACAGGTGAGAAGCCATGCAATCAAATCTCCATGATTAGAGGAGGTGAAAAGAAACTCGTGGCAAGAGAAAATTTGATGAGAAAGAGGAATTATTCTGGATGTTGACAACAAGATGTGATGAAGATGAAGGTAGCAAGTAAGTGTTGGGACCGATTTAATTGGGACAACTAACCGACAATAATTTTAGACATACAACTAAATTGCTGATTGTTTCTTTTGGTGTAGGTACATTGTAGAGATGTATAGGTACTTCCTGACACGTGCTGAGCTTTGTTGCCTACAAGACAGGAAATGGATGAATGACAAGGTAAGACTGTTGTTTACATAGATAGAGAAGTTAGCAATTTCATTATGATTATGACTAATTGTTTGTGTTTGTGATATAGTTCATGTCTATGGTAGCGAGAATTTTAGTGGGAGATGAGAAAGAGAACTATGGTCGTGTCATTAGGCATATATTTTCACCCAAGTTGATATAAATAATGGCCACTAATCCTCTTAGGTGGAGCGTGGAGAACCATGAACATGAAATCTTGCCAGAGTACTTAAGATATAACATTGGAGATTGTGACTTCATACTTGGCCCCACCCTTTTTAATTACTATTGGTTCTGTTATGTGTCAGATGTGAGAACCATGCATTTCTATACCCTTGATTCATTGGTCGATAATTTGACTATATTGAGAATACAAAGAGAGGAAGAAGATGTAATCAAAATGGGGAAGAAACTAAAGAGGAAGCAAGGGTTTAGGAAAAGACAGATAGATCCTAAGCAATTCATGGCAATAGAGATTGTATGCACAACTTTTCATTCATTCTATTACTTGCTAATGTGTTATGGTTGCTTGTCTGCGTAACTGTCCTGATTGTTAATGCCTACTGATTACTTGTCATTGGCTACTATTAAGGTTGTTAATACTTCCTCATAACTTGTCATTCACTACTGTCAAACCTGTTTCTTTATTCTTTCTTTTTTGCAGAAAGATTGTTTCTACCAAGTGTTTCGTGTAGTAAAGCCGGCACTATTTGAGGAAGACAAAAAAATTGACAAGGATGTCACATGGGCAAAAGTTAATGTGCAATCTGACATGTGAGTGGTTGTTGTACATTGCAAGTTTGCGTGTTTGAACTTTTGGGAACTAATGTTTATTGACTAAAGTATTGGTTTTTCCTTTGCAGGGACTCTTGTGGGGTTTATGTTTTGAGCTGGCTACAAACATGGGATGGCACAAAGCATGGTGATGACAATTACACAATACCTAAGTACTCCCCTCAAGAAATCCATGAGTTGAAGGTTGGGTGCTTGTGGTGGCTCATAACTCACAGGTCAACTAAAAAAAAAAAAACAATCTATGCTGGTCGTTTTGATTTTGTTTCGTTATTTGACCATATAATGACAGCTGGATATTAAAATATATTAATGTGTATTAACATCCTTTATTGGTTATGAAGTTTTTGTAATGGCATTCATGTGTTTTGACAAGACAGGAAATTCCTCTCTGCCACATCCATTTACAACCTCAATGGGGGTTGCTGACAACTCGAGCAGAAGGGGTTAACAACCTAGGTAGTGCCCCTGACAACTCACTCAGTGGGGTATCATAGCTTCTAAATAGATTGTATTGTCAGCACATATAACGACCTCAACAAAAAAAATTGGGAGCATTTTGAAGTCATTAACAGCTTTAATTGTCGGTAATAGGATTACACTAGATTTTTACTATATAAGTTCACTTACAACCTCAACAGGGGTTGTTCATAACCCGAACACAAGTAGTTAACAACCTGGACAGTGTCCCTGACAACTCACTATGTGAGGTACCACAATTTCTAAATAGATTGTATTGTTAACACATATAACGACCTTAACAAAAAAAAATTGGAGCATTTTGAAGTCATTAACAGTTTTAATTGTTGGCAATGGGATTACACCAGACTTTAACTGCATAAGTTCATTTACAACCTCAACAGGGATTGTTCACAACTTGAACACAAGTGGTTAACAACCT